CCTCTTTCTTTCGTCTCAGTATATCATCATACTCCGCTGACCTGTATCTCTTCTCCTCCTCTTTCTTTCGTCTCAGTATATTATCATACTCCACTCACCTGTATCTCTTCTCCTCCTCTCTCTTTCGTCTCAGTATATTATCATACTCCACTCACCTGTATCTCTTCTCCTCATCTCTCTTTCGTCTCAGTATATCATCATACTCCACTGACCTGTATCTCTTCTCCTCCTCTCTCTTTCGTCTCAGTATATCACCATACTCCACTCACCTGTATCTCTTCTCCTCATCTCTCTTTCGTCTCAGTATATCATCATACTCCACTGACCTGTATCTCTTCTCCTCCTCTCTCTTTCATCTCAGTATATCATCATACTCCACTCACCTGTATCTCTTCTCCTCATCTCTCTTTCGTCTCAGTATATCATCATACTCCACTGACCTGTATCTCTTCTCCTCATCTCTCTTTCGTCTCAGTATATCATCATACTCCGCTGACCTGTATCTCTTCTCCTCATCTCTCTTTCGTCTCAGTATATCACCATACTCCACTCACCTGTATCTCTTCTCCTCCTCTCTCTTTCATCTCAGTATATCACCATACTCCACTCACCTGTATCTCTTCTCCTCATCTCTCTTTCGTCTCAGTATATCATCATACTCCACTGACCTGTATCTCTTCTCCTCCTCTCTCTTTCGTCTCAGTATATCACCATACTCCACTCACCTGTATCTCTTCTCCTTCTCTCTCTTTCGTCTCAGTATATCATCATACTCCACTCACCTGTATCTCTTCTCCTCCTCTCTCTTTCGTCTCAGTATATCATCATACTCCACTCACCTGTATCTCTTCTCCACCTCTCTCTTTCGTCTCAGTATATGACCATACTCTACTCACCTGTATCTCTTCTCCTCATCTCTCTTTCGTCTCAGTATATCATCATACTCCACTGACCTGTATCTCTTCTCCTCATCTCTCTTTCGTCTCAGTATATCATCATACTCCACTGACCTGTATCTCTTCTCCTCATCTCTCTTTCGTCTCAGTATATCATCATACTCCACTGACCTGTATCTCTTCTCCTCCTCTCTCTTTCGTCTCAGTATATCACCATACTCCACTCACCTGTATCTCTTCTCCTCATCTCTCTTTCGTCTCAGTATATCATCATACTCCACTGACCTGTATCTCTTCTCCTCCTCTCTCTTTCGTCTCAGTATATCACCATACTCCACTCACCTGTATCTCTTCTCCTTCTCTCTCTTTCGTCTCAGTATATCATCATACTCCACTCACCTGTATCTCTTCTCCTCCTCTCTCTTTCGTCTCAGTATATCATCATACTCCACTCACCTGTATCTCTTCTCCACCTCTCTCTTTCGTCTCAGTATATGACCATACTCTACTCACCTGTATCTCTTCTCCTCATCTCTCTTTCGTCTCAGTATATCATCATACTCCACTGACCTGTATCTCTTCTCCTTCTCTCTCTTTCGTCTCAGTATATCATCATACTCCACTCACCTGTATCTCTTCTCCTCCTCTCTCTTTCGTCTCAGTATATCACCATACTCCACTCACCTGTATCTCTTCTCCTTCTCTCTCTTTCGTCTCAGTATATCACCATACTCCACTCACCTGTATCTCTTCTCCTTCTCTCTCTTTCGTCTCAGTATATCATCATACTCCACTCACCTGTATCTCTTCTCCTCCTCTCTCTTTCGTCTCAGTATATCATCATACTCCACTCACCTGTATCTCTTCTCCACCTCTCTCTTTCGTCTCAGTATATGACCATACTCTACTCACCTGTATCTCTTCTCCTCCTCTCTCTTTCATCTCAGTATATCACCATACTCCACTGACCTGTATCTCTTCTCCTCCTCTCTCTTTCGTCTCAGTATATCACCATACTCCACTGACCTGTATCTCTTCTCCTCATCTCTCTTTCATCTCAGTATATCATCATACTCCACTGACCTGTATCTCTTCTCCTCATCTCTCTTTCGTCTCAGTATATCATCATACTCCACTGACCTGTATCTCTTCTCCTCATCTCTCTTTCGTCTCAGTATATCACCATACTCCACTGACCTGTATCTCTTCTCCTCCTCTCTCTTTCATCTCAGTATATCATCATACTCCACTGACCTGTATCTCTTCTCCTCATCTCTCTTTCGTCTCAGTATATCATCATACTCCACTGACCTGTATCTCTTCTCCTCCTCTCTCTTTCATCTCAGTATATCATCATACTCCACTGACCTGTATCTCTTCTCCTCCTCTCTCTTTCATCTCAGTATATCATCATACTCCACTCACCTGTATCTCTTCTCCTCATCTCTCTTTCGTCTCAGTATATCATCATACTCCACTGACCTATATCTCTTCTCCTCATCTCTCTTTCGTCTCAGTATATCATCATACTCCGCTGACCTGTATCTCTTCTCCACCTCTCTCTTTCGTCTCAGTATATCACCATACTCCACTCACCTGTATCTCTTCTCCTCCTCTCTCTTTCGTCTCAGTATATCATCATACTCCACTCACCTGTATCTCTTCTCCACCTCTCTCTTTCGTCTCAGTATATCATCATACTCCACTGACCTGTATCTCTTCTCCTCATCTCTCTTTCGTCTCAGTATATCACCATACTCCACTCACCTGTATCTCTTCTCCTTCTCTCTCTTTCGTCTCAGTATATCACCATACTCCACTCACCTGTATCTCTTCTCCTTCTCTCTCTTTCGTCTCAGTATATCATCATACTCCACTCACCTGTATCTCTTCTCCTCCTCTCTCTTTCGTCTCAGTATATCATCATACTCCACTCACCTGTATCTCTTCTCCACCTCTCTCTTTCGTCTCAGTATATGACCATACTCTACTCACCTGTATCTCTTCTCCTCCTCTCTCTTTCATCTCAGTATATCACCATACTCCACTGACCTGTATCTCTTCTCCTCCTCTCTCTTTCGTCTCAGTATATCACCATACTCCACTGACCTGTATCTCTTCTCCTCATCTCTCTTTCATCTCAGTATATCATCATACTCCACTGACCTGTATCTCTTCTCCTCATCTCTCTTTCGTCTCAGTATATCATCATACTCCACTGACCTGTATCTCTTCTCCTCATCTCTCTTTCGTCTCAGTATATCACCATACTCCACTGACCTGTATCTCTTCTCCTCCTCTCTCTTTCATCTCAGTATATCATCATACTCCACTGACCTGTATCTCTTCTCCTCATCTCTCTTTCGTCTCAGTATATCATCATACTCCACTGACCTGTATCTCTTCTCCTCCTCTCTCTTTCATCTCAGTATATCATCATACTCCACTGACCTGTATCTCTTCTCCTCCTCTCTCTTTCATCTCAGTATATCATCATACTCCACTCACCTGTATCTCTTCTCCTCATCTCTCTTTCGTCTCAGTATATCATCATACTCCACTGACCTATATCTCTTCTCCTCATCTCTCTTTCGTCTCAGTATATCATCATACTCCGCTGACCTGTATCTCTTCTCCACCTCTCTCTTTCGTCTCAGTATATCACCATACTCCACTCACCTGTATCTCTTCTCCTCCTCTCTCTTTCGTCTCAGTATATCATCATACTCCACTCACCTGTATCTCTTCTCCACCTCTCTCTTTCGTCTCAGTATATGACCATACTCTACTCACCTGTATCTCTTCTCCTCATCTCTCTTTCGTCTCAGTATATCACCATACTCCACTGACCTGTATCTCTTCTCCTCATCTCTCTTTCGTCTCAGTATATCATCATACTCCACTGACCTGTATCTCTTCTCCTCATCTCTCTTTCGTCTCAGTATATCACCATACTCTACTGACCTGTATCTCTTCTCCTCATCTCTCTTTCGTCTCAGTATATCACCATACTCCACTGACCTGTATCTCTTCTCCTCATCTCTCTTTCGTCTCAGTATATCACCATACTCCACTGACCTGTATCTCTTCTCCTCCTCTCTCTTTCGTCTCAGTATATCACCATACTCCACTGACCTGTATCTCTTCTCCTCATCTCTCTTTCGTCTCAGTATATCACCATACTCCACTGACCTGTATCTCTTCTCCTCATCTCTCTTTCGTCTCAGTATATCACCATACTCCACTGACCTGTATCTCTTCTCCTCATCTCTCTTTCGTCTCAGTATATCACCATACTCCACTGACCTGTATCTCTTCTCCTCATCTCTCTTTCGTCTCAGTATATCATCATACTCCACTGACCTGTATCTCTTCTCCTCATCTCTCTTTCGTCTCAGTATATCACCATACTCTACTGACCTGTATCTCTTCTCCTCATCTCTCTTTCGTCTCAGTATATCACCATACTCCACTGACCTGTATCTCTTCTCCTCATCTCTCTTTCGTCTCAGTATATCACCATACTCCACTGACCTGTATCTCTCCTCCTCATCTCTCTTACGTCTCAGTATATCATCATACTCCACTGACCTGTATCTCTTCTCCTCCTCTCTCTTTCGTCTCAGTATATCATCATACTCCACTGACCTGTATCTCTTCTCCACCTCTCTCTTTCGTCTCAGTATATCATCATACTCCACTGACCTGTATCTCTTCTCCTCCTCTCTCTTTCGTCTCAGTATATCATCATACTCCACTGACCTGTATCTCTTCTCCACCTCTCTCTTTCGTCTCAGTATATCATCATACTCCACTGACCTGTATCTCTTCTCCACCTCTCTCTTTCGTCTCAGTATATCATCATACTCCACTCACCTGTATCTCTTCTCCTCATCTCTCTTTCGTCTCAGTATATCATCATACTCCACTGACCTGTATCTCTTCTCCTCCTCTCTCTTTCGTCTCAGTATATCACCATACTCTACTCACCTGTATCTCTTCTCCTCATCTCTCTTTCGTCTCAGTATATCACCATACTCCACTCACCTGTATCTCTTCTCCTTCTCTCTCTTTCGTCTCAGTATATCACCATACTCTACTCACCTGTATCTCTTCTCCTCCTCTCTCTTACGTCTCAGTATATCATCATATTCCAGTGGTTGTGGTGTTGCCCAACCTTTCCTTGGTGCTCTAGGAGGGAGATCATCATAACCCCTGGGTACAGGTGTTTGAGAAGAAGCTTCTTGCTGAAGTCTTGGTGCATTGTAAGAATCATTTCCCTGCTGATACTGACTGAGGGGCTGATGTTGGTTGTAGCCATTGGAGGGTTGCTGTTGGCCATAGCTGTTAGGAGGACCAGAGGCTGATTGATGTTGTCCACCCTGAAATGATTACAGCAGTCAAAATAGACCAGTTGGGCATGTTGGTACATTACTTTGTAGAGATTGCTATTCATTTTTGTTAGCATGCTACTCATTATGTGAGCAGCATCGATAAATTACACTGCATAATCAAAATCCATTTCTTGACTTGATTTTATATACATGTATGTGAGAGGGGTATACAATCTGTACATTCATAACACATGATGAAATGCTATCCTATACACATTCTGGAGCATTAAACAGATGTTAACATTAACAGACATTCAGAGGAAGCAAGGCTGCTAACATGTACATATGCAGCACCATAGCATTTTATTTTAAAGTTGGTATAAAAACAGGAGCTTTCAATTAATTGGTCAGGGGGCAAAAAATATTCTGAAATTACATTTCAGGCCGCTTAGAAAACACATGCAAATCAAAGACCCAGCTACATGTACATGTTCAAACTTATGTTTATTCCTGTGTTCCTCATTTGATGTCGTAATTAATTGTTATAGCATGTTGTAATGGATAAGGAAGTGACCATGGATTACAGGATCTACTTTTTCTCATATCCAGATAATGCTGATGGGCGTTTTGCATTAGAGAGAAGCAAGCAAGCAAAAAGTCTTCTATCTGTGTCAACAGTTGGTAATGAAGTATGACATAGATGCATTCACTTGTATTATTAAAGGGGAAGTCCACTTTCATAATAAGTTGGTTTTCATAGAAGGAGAATAATGAGAGGAATGGGTCAGTGAAAGTTTGAGCAAAATCAGACTTAGGAAGTTAAGATTCTTGGCCCTTCCTTCGTCTACATTGTATCTCCCTTCTGCTTCAAGAAGTCATTGTACTCTTTGTTTTGTTGCAAACATAATACTCACCCCATTAGTTAGCTCTGTGCCTTGGTCCTGGCCCTTCCTTCGACTACCTCCCTTCTGCTTCAAGAAGTCATTGTACTCTTTGTTTCGCTGGGAACGTGCCCTGTCCTGAGCAGAAAGCCTTTCTCCTATTGGCAGTGACATACCATCACCTTCTATATTTGTTCTCTTGGTTGAGGAACGATTATTTTTCTGTGAGAAAGAAAATTGAAGTACTAACTTTATATACCAACAAAGAATCATAGATACACTGGATAGCTTCAACAATAATGGATATTGAGAGACACAAGAAAAACAATGAGTGTGACCAATGATAATCATTATAAATCTGAAGTAGGTTTCACAAGCAGATTTACTCATCAAAGTCCATTTTGCGTCAAAATAGTGAATGCTCTGAGTGACTTTCATCTTGAACATGTAGGGTCACGTGCGTTCATGTTCATAACCACAAACTTAGGATCATGATTGCGAGCGCAATCATTAACATGACAAAACTGAAGGAAAATAACCCATCAAAATCAAGTAATAAAGACGCTTGTTTCAATGAAAATTACGAATTACAACATACCTTACCCCCTCCCTCCTTTGAAGTGCCTCCCCCCCCCCCCCCAATTAAAATGAAGCAAAATGTTGGGATGGGGGCAATATGTTGTGTAGGGGGGGCATGGAGTGTGTTCAGAAATGATGCAGGCTATTGGGCGAGTGGTACATAAAATAAGATCTGGATCCATGTGATAGTCATGATGTTCAGTCTGAATCATGAATACAATGTATTCAGAACCCTTTCTTGTCTCCCCCCCCCCCCTCCCCCTCTCTTTCTCTCTCTTAGAACAAAATTTAAGAATAGACACTAGGGATGGAACTGCCTATTTTTTAGTTCACGATTAAAACAATAGCTCCTCTATTATCTCAAGACTTCACTATGCCCCTTGACTTTGTCTCTGGTTTCAGTACAGTTTAAAGATCATCTTGGGCAATATTTTTTAACATGCCCTTCATTCATAGAAGTCAATATTTTTATCTTACCTGCCAACCTCAGACAAATGAATTCATTATTTGGGCACAATTCAATTTCAGGGGTACAAAGGGTGCTTTTTTCTTGTTTTTTTCTCCTCATTATGAAACACATTTCATTGCAACGATATACCTATCATTATACTTTGTACATTGTAGATGATAATAGTCAAAGTGCCAAAATCAAATTATAATCTTTATTTTATCCATTTGACTGTTGTGCATTTGCATCTTTCAATTTTTCTATATTGTTCTACCTTGTATTACAGAAATCTATAGAAAGAAATTTTGGACAATGGAAGAAAAAAGAATTGCCTTTGAAAATATAGAATGATATGAACGTATGAATATAGGGAGTAATATATCCTATTTTTATTTAGGCCTAAATTTCTATAAATAATAATCCCTACTCCAATAAACCCTGTAATAAAATTATTTAATTGTGTATATGAATACAGAATTTGAAAGTAATATAGTTATATTTATGCAATCTAATTTTCAAACTCTCAAACAGTTGGGAAACCATGGAGTAATGTCACATCGTTCGTGTTGACTTGGCACAAATACAGCAGAACCATGGCACTTCCGCCATAGGCTGTTAGAGGCATGATGGCAAACTCTTGGGCTTATTTAAGATCACGAGGTGTCAGACCCGCTAGAGAGAGCCGTTTCTTCCATGCGCTTGGGTTCACACTCATGGCATTTATGTTTCACTTTGACTCAAAGACATACAGGGTGTACACCATTTTTGCCTGTAATTGGAACGATTTTTTTGGAAGACTTCCGTTTACATGTAACATCAATAGTACCGCATACATTCACATACAGGTGTATGTCTGATGATAAGCAATAAGCAGTGTTGATACAACAAGTATTGTACCTATTCATGACAGATTTTGAGCAAAAAGTCTAGTTACCTCTTGAATGAATCTTCTGTATTCTGCCTCTCTCTCCTTTTGTAGCTTCTCTTTTGTGGTGATGTAGTTACCAACAGGAAGACCAGGTTCATCTGAAGACATTGATTCAGAATATATTAGGGGCATTGACATGTACATGCAATCAAACAAGAAGAAGAAAGAAAGAGGAAAATTGAATGAAAGGATTTAATGAATTAAGAAATACATGCATGTACATCTACAGTTCTAATTCAAATTTCAAATTTCAAATTTATTCATGTTTCCAACAAAACATTACAAATAAATTATAAGCATTTAAAACAAATTTAACAAATACATGTTGGAAACAGAGGGGTCCACTAAAAAGCAATGCTTGTACAAGTATGAACACCTCAAATGAAACTTAGGAATAATGAGTAATTAAATAAACTAATTTGTAACTACAAAAAGAACTACAAAATAGGGGAAAGAAAAAGGGGGATGCCAACAGAGACGAGAAAGGGACATACAGATTGTACAGGTGGTTATACAGACTTTGTTTTTGTTATTTTACAATGCCATTGATTTCATCAATTTGCTTTCTCCTCTTCCCTTCTTCACCTTCTCCTACATTATCATTATTATATTATTTTCCCTTTTCGCCTCCTATAATACTCATAACTTCAAACCTACTATAATATGTCACTCAGTACGGGAGCCCATTCACACACAATTATTTAGGCCACATTTTACATTGTTTTACCTTGCCAGTCATGTACATTTCAAAACTTTATGCCTATTTTCTGTACATTATACTTCTTTTTGTTGTGTGTAATCTACGCTTATATTACACTTAGATGCTGCTTGTAAGTGTCGGCTTGCATGGTGATGTACATACAGTAGGTTTGCGGGTGCACCATGTGTGAGAGAGAGAGAGAGGTTTGAGGAGTCCTGAAAAGGATTACCGAGTCAGAGATTACCGAGATTACCGAGTCAGAGTCCTTTTCAGGACTCCTCAAACCCCTCTCTCTCTCTCACACACATGGTGCACCCACAAACCTACTGTATAGACTTGTATACAAATGTGAAACAAATAAAACTTCAAACTTCAAACAAAATGGCAACTCTTATATTTTGCTTGTGAGGAGCTCTCCATCACGTCTCAAATGTGTGTGGTGCTTCTCTAGAAGAAAACTTGACTTTGATTCAATGAGTAGCACTTTAAAAACACTTACGATACGTCGTACAAACAAGTACTGTATAACCATCCCCAAACTTCTTAATTTAGCCCTATGGAGAAGGATGAACATTTCAGAACAATCTACATGTATGTCAATGTACCTGACTGTTTATGGCCTTTGTGCTGGTTGGTAAGAGGCTTAGGAGGACGGTTCTCTTTTAGAACTATGTCTCCATTAGGATATCCATTCGACAGAGGTACTGATATCTGTAATTAAATGAGATTAAATTAACAACAACAAAAATAACAACAAGAATGCAACTTTGGCAAAGTAAAAAACAAACAAAAACTTGAAGATGAATGCGTCTGGTCTCTAACATGCCTCTGCCTTTACAGTATGTACATGTATGTATAACCTCATTTGATGATCCTGGGAACTTTAGCATCTGACCTTACAAATCCAAACTCTTTTCCATTATATTTGTCTTGCTCATAAATGTTAGTGGATTGTGACGAAGGACTTGGATAACTCTCCCATTTGCAATGTACACAATTTCTGTTTTTCTCATAATAATAATAATAATAATAGCTAGTTTTTATATAGCGCTTTTCAGGACCGAAGGCCCTCTCAAAGCGCTTTACAGAAATATATATATAATTCATAATTCTCTCTCAGGGCACTACTCAAAATATATTAAAGATAGCATATTATTACAGGTTCTTTAAAAAGAATAGACCATCCTGAGCAATACATTTTTGAAAATTTATATTTAGTCATTTTGTATGTTGGAATAGATGGGAAAGTAGTCCGGCACTACATCACATTGACATTAACGCTTAAGCCAATTTGCAGCGCCCATACATGTACGTAGTGCTTGCAACTTCCAAAAATGCATAACTATGTTTATATATAGTCAGATTTAATTGAAACTTTTATCAGTTTGCTTTCTTTTGAGTAGTTGTCTATTTAGGTTGGATTGATTCCCGTTCATGTGCAGGGCTGCATACAACTCATATTTTGTTATTCAAACATCTAACTATATCTCATAGATTTCAACCTAAAGAGATGCTCCAAATCTCATTAATGTAGTGACATAATCATCAGTTGATAGAGAGCTAGCAAGAGATAGTGGTATGTAACTTCCCTCAGCTCAGCAAATGCTCACAAAAGACTTGCATTCTTTCATACAATACCTTCACAATAATCTTCTTCACCTGGTGATGCTACAACACATCTGACATAGCAACCCCATGTTGGTATTGTATGGTCTATTGTGAACAGGTGGTCCAATCTGGTGGAGCTACATACCACAGTCTCTTGTTTGCATTGAGCCATTTACATACAAATTCTGGTCTCAGATTTTGGGTGCTCATTTGTCCCGGGAACCTCTTAATGCCGAGCCACCTACATGTATTTTAGAGCTCTGTCTCTTACTTGTTTTTCATTTGAATGTTGCAGATCTTCTCTCTCTCTTGCAATCTTCCTTTTCTGTTGTTGTATGAAACGATCAATGTCATCCTCTGCAGACATCCTGATCCTGTATGTTGACATGTATCACAAAGATTAAGATTCAAATTGAATACTACAGAATCCGACAACAAGATCTCGGAATACTATACACCGAACGACCTCTCTTAACAACTCTAATTATCAAGAGTAGGGGCAGTGCTGGAAACTTGGTAAAATTGTCATATGATCCAACATCATTTGGTACATTGTCATTTTTGTACATTAAAATTTCAACATATAACATGTCCATATTTACATCAACAGCGCGATGAAACATTTGAGAACTTGAGTAGGGTGTCTGATCGCGCACTCTAGTTACATGTAAGTGTGCTAAAACCCTTCCATAGAAATGGCAGTCCCTATGCAGTCTAAATGCATTGCACGCTCATCTCGAAACTCTAAAAATATCTTAATCAAAACAGCGATTTAAACATTGTTTCCATCGTAGCTCTGAGATTGCCCACTTTTGGGAAATGACCCCCTGAGAGATAAATAGTTTGAGTCATAAGGAATATCTATGCGCTTATTTTTTCGCTAGCCCCCAGGTATCACAATAGATTGCAGTTTGACACTACCCTTCCTCCCACTTTTTGTATCGGCTAATAATTAGGGAGGCGTGACTCTGCTCAGCCCATATCCATGAGCATCCATGGGCACATGCATTCATCTCATGCTCGTTAGCTCACATAAAGTTCAGCAGCGCGATCTTTGTGCGTGCTACCAATGTTGCAAGCCTTCGTACACATGGTACTGCGTGTATACGTGTGCATTCAAATAGCGAAATAACGAGTTTGTTTTCAAAAACACCCATTTTTGTTCCCCCCCCCCCCCCTTAACCAGGATCGTTGTGTGACAATTTGTGACCTTTTTTTTAAACTCCAATCGGCTAGCAGCAAGATGCCCAGCTTGCGGCTGCGATACAGGACGCCAGCACAGCCCCGTGAAAATTGCCACTAGGTCTAGATCTATGCACGAAAGTGCCAATTTTTTCTTGGCACACATCGTTAAAATACATTGTTTTGGTAATCAAACCATCTAGAAATTTCATTTGCATGTACCGTAAGTATTAATAATAATAATTATAATAGCTAGTTCTTATATATCTATAGACTCTAGCGCCTTTCAGGACCAAAATCGGGGAGAAAATGTCGTGTACGAAAAGATGTTCATCGCTGGATCTAGCTAGGCAAATTCATGCAAAAAAATGTATTAAAAAAATTGACTTGAAAACACATCAGACAATTAGTCTGAACCGAGTCAGGAGCAGATTTGAAGAAATTATATTTTTAAATGTTGTAAAACCAAAGATTTAAGAAGAAAACTGACCAAGTATCTGTACTAAAAATCGTACATGTAAAATTGGTCGTACACATTCGACAGCTGAAAATGACGCGCAAGGTTGTGTTACGTGCGTTCTCGAATCCAAAATCATACCTCACACACACACTTTCGCCATACCGCGAATGGTCCGCCGTGGGGAGCTAGCCGGCTGAGAGTTTGCAGCGATACCAACGCAGCTTCGGAGCTCCGCAGCGTGCCATTTTAGCGGGACTCGGAAAGGTTCGTGGTGGGAAGGCAGCGGCCTAGCTTTTTGCCCAAACAACGCTAGATCGGCTGCTGGCAAAATGAAAATAACTACGATCGAGAACATCGTCGGTTTCTTAACTTTTCAGTGAGATAATTCTGAATTCTAATTGAGACTATATAATAAATTAAATCGACAAAGAAACCTCGGTAGAACTCTTATAACTGTACAAAAGCTTGTTTATTTCTTCATTTGACATTTTGTTTTCGACCATTTTTTCGTGCGCGAGTCAATGCAAACTATGTACCGGTATTACCAACTTTCAACACGCAAGGAATGGGGAACACTCGCGGACCTCGTATCAAATTCGTTGCAAAAAAAAAATTCAAGGGTGATTTTGAAGCAGTGAAGAATATTGGCGCTGCAATGCGCAGAAATATACTTGAAAGAAACTTAAAAAATCATACCTGAATTTTCAGAAAATCGTATTTGTATTAGTGTACCTAGATGTTACTTGTTTATAATTCAGATTTTATGAAGATTTGTCGGGAAAAAATGTCAATTTTTTCCGTTTGGTGGTCATTTCTAGGCTAATATTTTAAAAGTTACTTCAGTAATGGTCCCGATGTTTCTTTTATCATAGTCTACTCGCATGTTATTTCTACATAGATTAAACATAGGATGGTTAAGGGTAAGACCGGATAACATTATAAAAAAGATATATCCTTCAAACCTCCCATAGACCCTATAGAGTCTAACTGTTAGATCTAACTGTTAGATCTAGATCTATCCAAGTTTTGGGCTGATTATTGCCGACCCACCGCACATGCCGCAGCAAGGCCATTCTAGCTACCCCCACGGTACGAGATCTCTGTTGTACCGTCTGTATTGGGGAATGTCAACAAATGTCAGTTTTATTAAAGAAATGACCCAAATCAGACGATTATTTCTGTCTAGGGAGAGGCATAAATAGCCTAGCTAGCCACAGGCCACATCATGACATAGTATACAAATAACGCACGTCCCAGAGTGCAATAGCGGTGAATGCAGTACGCGCGAGGTTTCTTTAGATTGGTGCCGCTCTGTGCAACGAGCCGCTTGCGGCGAGTTCACAGTGAGCACCATCTGAAGAAACCGAGCGTACACTGCATTTACGTTTCGCACAACAGGGTCAAGTGCGTTATTTGTTTTATAAAATAGCGACACAAACAGCAACAAACAAAAGTTTAGATCTTAAGTATACGAGAGTTCGATCTACATGTAGATCTAGAGTTATGTTGGTTCTACTAATAAAATGAGGGTCTAAGACCTTGCAGGCTTACCAAAAAGTCCACGGGATTCATTGTTTGATTAAAAATAAAATGCATAGGGTGTCTAGAGACGAGTCTACATCAGACAGCTGAAATTCCTGGCTTCATTATAAAATCCAAAAGTCAAAACGGGTCTAAATCCAGGGCAAAAGTAAAATAAAAATTTGCTTTCTAATAATACCCCGCTCTAGCTAGCTAGAGCTAAGCTACGCGTACGCTGCGCTGGGAATCATGGTGGAGCGTACAATATTAGCTACGCGTAGCCTATAGCCTACATTATAAAATGGCTCTAGTATTTTAAGCATCGTGATTGGTCAATACGCGTCACATGACATTGACAAATTTTTGATGCAAGCACGATTTTGCAGAAATGAGTGCAGAAAAAGCGCAACAAAAAGTTATATTGCACGTGACCATGGAGATCCAGCGCGTACGTGTAGTACGCGCTCCCTCGACCTCGAGTGCATTGCAATTATTGTAGGCTACGCGTAGCTAATATTGTACGCGCTCCACCATGATCCCCAGCGCAACGTACGCGTAGCTTAGCTCTATGCTAGCTAGCTAGAGCGGGGTATTATTAAAAAGCAAATTTTTATTTTACTTTTGCCTTGGATTTAGGCCTGTTTTGACTTTTGGATTTTATAATGAAGCCAGGAATTTCAGCTGTCTGATGTAGACTCGTCTCTAGACCCACTGTATGGATTTTATTTTTAACCAAGGCAATGAATCCCATTGACTTTTTGGTAAGCCTGCAAGGTTAGTCTCGAACCAACATAACTCTAGATCTAGATCGAACTCTCGTAGACTCTAACTTAAGATCTAAAGTTTCGTTTGTTGCTATTTGTGTCGCTATTTTATAAAACAAATAACGCACTTGACCCTGTTGTGCGAAACGTAAATGCAGTGTACGCTCGGTTTCTTTAGATGGTGCGCACTGTAAACTCGCCGCAAGCGGCTCGTTAACAGAGCGGCACCAATCTAAAGAAACCTCGCGTGTACTGCATTCACCGCTATTGCACTCTGGGACGTGCGTTATTTGTATAATGCACTCGAGGGAGCGTACTAGTCTACGCGTACGCGCGCGCACTGGATCTCCATGGTCACGCGTACGCACCGTGCAATATAACTTTTTACTGCGCTTTTTCTGCACTCATTTCTGCAAAATCGTGCTTGCATCAAAATTTTTTCAATGTCATGTAACGCGTATTGACCAATCACGATGCTTAAAATACTAGAGCCATTTTATAAATAACGTTAGTCGTTACACAGACACGAAGCAATGGGACCAAGGGTAGTAATTCCTACTGGAGTTCTGTTCACTTGGCAACTGTAAACAACAAGAAAACCGCCCTAATATCCCCAGAAATCATTGTATGATTCAAACATAATTTCTATTTATTTATTAGATTTTTCTTACCACAGCCATAAATGCCTTCATCTAACGTTAATTCTATCCAAATTTCATAACACATGAGTATTCAAAAGTCTTGTCGAATGAAATTACTATCGGTCGATCGTGCAGCTAGGCCTACTTGTCAAATATTTTCAAGACTTGAAATGCATGATGGGAAGCGGTTTGGCGAATTCCAGACAACTCGCCACAAAGACAACCCGCTCCAAGAGGTTGGTTGGTTGGTTCTTCGTTTAGATGGCGCTCTTCAATCTCAAAGATTATTTGCGCCAGTCAATTTCGTGTATAGCTTTGGCGTGGGCTTCGGAAATCAAGCCCACGAGCGACTTTCCTTGGTGAAATGAAATTAATAGTGATATGGTTTTATTTAAAAAAAATAAAAAAAAAAAAAAAAAAAAAAAAAAAAAAAAAAAAAACTGCAATATTAAAATTGCATAAAATGCACATAAAAGGCGAGATGGGAGTTAGTTGCAATTGTTCATGGAAAAACCGCAAATACTTCATTTTATATATTATTACAGGATCGACATAAGTTAAGGGGATCCCTGATAGCTTTAAAAGCTATCTAAAACGATTAGTATCGTATATGTAACCCAATAATTCACGAGTAAAAATTGGGTTAGACATCAATAATTGTTTTAGATTGGGGTTGTTCAATTTAATCCTTTCTTTTAAGAGACGTCTATCTTTGTCGTATTTTGTACAATAGAAAATAAAATGTTTAATTGTTTCATCTTCTTGACAAACTTCACAAAGACCAGTATCGTGTTGGTTAATTTGAAAAAGGTAATAATTTAAACTACAGTTACCTACTCTTAGTTGTTGTATCAAGCATTCTTCTCTGCGAGATAGGCCTTGTCTATGTATGGGCTTTGAAACGTCGCTATGCAAAGCATATAAAAATCTACCGTGTTCTGCATTATCCCATTCTGCTTGCCATAATTTGTTATAATGGATCAAACGAGAGGCTGCCAATTCACTTCTTGTATTTGGTATAACTATGTCTATACACCTTTTCATGGCTCCTTTTTTGGCAGCCTGATCTACGATCTCATTGCCCCTAATATCGCAATGTGACGGAATCCATTCAAAAGCAACACAAACATCCTTAAACTGCAAAATATTAATTATGGATAAAATTTCATTTACAATAGCACATCTAATAAAGTATGAATCGATCATTTGTAAAGCTGACAAAGCGTCGCTAAAAATTACCACCGAAGAGGATTCAATAAATGTATTAATCCACTCTAGTGCCATTAGTATGGCCACTATAGTTCTGCTCTCATAATACAGACATGGGATAATCTAAAAAATTTCACCACATTATAATGAGACACATAAAATGCGGCTCCTGTCTTCCCATCCTCGAGTTTAGAACCATCTGTATATATATGTAAAAACCCATTCCATGAATTTCCAATGCTATCTAGAACAATCGATTTTATTTCAAATGGAGGCATTTCCTTTTTTTGCACTTTGCCATGGTGTTCGAAAGACACTTGTGGTCGTGCTAACCGCCATTCTGGGATTTTCGGCAATAAGTTGGTTTGCCCTTCCACCACTACTTCGTCTCTAAAGGATCGCAGTTTAAAAGGTCCTTCTCCTATCTTCCATTCTAAGTTATTTAAATCATAGTCATCACCCAATACTTCTTTTGTTGGGTGGTTTAGAGTACTAGACAGTAAATAAACTCGAAAGTTATCATTTAACAACCTTCTACGATATCTCAGAGGCAGCTCCCCGGTCAAAACTTGTAAAGCCTCCAAGGACACATTGTGTATTGTGCCTGTAATAATTTTTAAGGCTCTGTATTGGATAGAGTCAAGTTTTTTTGTTAAAGATATACAAGCAGAATCATACATTTCACTCCCATAGTCCAAAATGGATAGGATAAGTCCTTTATAAATCATCATCAAAATCTCATACTTACTTCCCCAGGGGGTGCCGGAGACACAACGTAGCAAGTTTATTCTTTTCTTACATTTATCAATGATAGAATCTATATGGACAGACCAAGTTAAATTGGAGTCAAACCTCACACCAAGGAACTTATACTGCTCGCATATAGGCAGATTATGTCCTTTTATTTGTAGAAGAATATCTTTCTTTTGTTTGTTGGTAAAGATTAATACTGCAGATTTGGTAGGGGAAACGTTTAACTTCCACGTCCAACACCATATCTCAAGCTCATGCAGGGCCTCTTGTAATTTCCTGCGGGCCAGCTCTAAATCCTTATTTGAACACCAGATTGCAATGTCATCAGCATAGCAAGATAATTTAACATCACTTACATTTATCTTGAGATCATTTAACATTAAACAAGACAACCCGCCACAATACCCTTGACATCTCGCCACAATACCCTGGACAACTCGCTACAGGCGAGTTGTCCAGGGTGGGGTGCCTTTTCGGACAACTCGCCACACTTTTTTCCCTCATGATTTCTAGATCTAAAATCCCTCATCTTAGATGAAATTGTCATTTTTCATGATTTTCGTGCTTTTATAAACATAGGCGCCGGAAGTGGGGTGGCAGGGGGGGCAGCTGCCCCCCCCAGTCAAAAAAGTGGGGGGCAAAACGCATTTTTGCCCCCCCAAAACGCCCCCCCCCCCTCCAAAAAAAAAAAAAAAAAAAAGCAGTAAAGGAGTAAAGATGGTTGTATTTTTACCCAAAAGTACATAACAATAATAAAAACCAGAATTAAATCACATATAAATTCCATTCAAAGAAAAGGAAAGTTAATAGGAATTAAATTTCCTAAAAATTGCGCATGCCACCTATATTTATCAATGGAGGTTTTTATAATAGCGATACGCGCATATCGTGGACATACATGTATTGTGAGAGAATGTAAAAGCGTGTCTGTTTTTTGTTATATAGGGGTGAGAAGACATGAGCTCCTGAACGATGGCGTACTGATGGGGGGGGGGGGTATTTTTTTATTCGATACCAGTGATTTACAAATGTTGCTGAAATGACATGAATTTCCAGTATTTTTGTAAGTCATACCTTTTTATGCGTTTGTTGGAAAATTAGAAATTCCCAAATTTACAGTCGGGCGAAAAATATGCTTATTTAGAAACCTTTATGTCATGGTCTGCAAATCCGCTGGGCTCGGGGGCTCGAGCCCCCTCACTTTTTGAAAAAGTATGTTACAGAGAAAAAGAAAGAAAGAGAGAGAGAAATATTAAGTTACCTGCCAACGTCACAAATGAGGTATCAAAATATGCTCATCTGACCGTAATTAAAACTTAAACCTCAGAGCATACGGACTCCACCAAGGGCCCTAAGGCGGTCCCCTGGATGCTCATTTGACAGTAATACCTTAAAAAAAAACGAGCTTCCGGGGGCTCTGCCCCCTGGACCCCACCAAGGGCCCTAAGGCGGTCCCCTGGATGCTCATCTGACCGTAGTTAAATACCTAAAACCCCCAAGCTTCCGGGGGCTCTGCCCCCTGGACCCCACCAAGGGCCCTAAGGCGGCCCCTGGATGCTCATCTGACCGTAATTAAATACCTAAAACCCCTGAGCTTCCGGGGGCTCTGCCCCCTGGACCCCACAAAGGGCTCTAAGCTAAGCGGCCCCTGGATGCTCCTCTGACCGTAGTTAAATATTAAAACATCTGAGCTTACGGGGGCTCTGCCCCCTGGACCACATCAATGACCTTAAATAGGGCCCCTGGATGCTCATCTAACCGTAATTAAATACCTAAAAACCCTAAGTTTCCGGGGGCTCTGCTCCCTGGACTCTCCGCCAATTAGTGACCTGCCAGCGTCACAAAATAATAAGGTATCTAAATATGCTTATCTGACCGTAATTTAATGCCTAAAATCCGTGAGCTCCGGGGGCTCAGCCCCTTGACCCCCTGCCGAGGCTCAGGTCCTGGACCCCAAGCCAATTTACGCTCTACCTGATCGTTAATACCCCCACTTTGAAAAGCGTTCCGCGAGGCCTGCATGTAACGTGTAAGAGTGGTGGTGATGCAGATTTTTCTTCTGCCCCCCCCCCCCTCCTTCCAAACTTTTTTGCTCATTACGTCACTGCCCCTGGAAGGTGAGCCCCCTGGAATGTTTGCCACCCCAATCCCAAACTGCTTCCGGCGCGCCTGTTTATAAACACAGTCATTACAAAGAATAAAGAATAAAGCTGATTTCCCTTGCAACCAGGGCTCAAATTTTTTGTCCAGGGGGGCTCTTCCAAAAAAAAAGAGCCCCCGTGAACCTTCTCACGGGGGCGCTTTTAGTGCTGACGGGGGCTCTTATTTTAATACAAATTTCCATTGAATTGGTACCCATGAAACTCCTAAATTCCTTGGTATTTTATCATTATCATTTATTTAAGTCGGCATTTTCCCTCTTAGAAAATGTACTTCTTACATATTATATATCCCCGTGATGACATTCTCTCCATTTCTTCCCTTTCTGCACATAATGTCCTCCTCATTATTGGAGTAACCTTATTTACATTCTGTCTTTAGTCTAGTCTTTACCATATCCCTCCAAAACACAGAGGCGGATCTAGCTTTTTGCTAAGGGTGGGGGGGGGGGGGGTAACCCAAATACGATGTGGCATATCGTCCACGAGCCGCGTAGCGGCGAGGCGATTTTTGTTGTTGCTATTTTGAACCCTCGTAAGTGATTTTTTTAATGGCATAACATGCGAAGCATCGTCCACGAGCCGACAAGCCCCTTTAGTGATGTTTTCCTAGCATCTACTGACTGTGTAGGTCTGGACACATGATAGCATTTTTCTATGCACATCACATTTTCAATTGGCAGCCCAAGGGGAAGGGGGGGGGGTTCATTGCAACCCAATTATAGATCCGCCCTTCAACATCTTTGGTGATCTTCTTCTCAATATTGATTTACTAGTCGAGTTACATTATTTGCTGGTCTTTTAGAATAACCAGATTTCAGAGAATTCACACTTTTCACAACGAAAAAGCAAGTGTCAGTCCTTGCGCGATCGTCTCCAGCTCCAGCAGATATATTGGGCGTCAGCGTGCACACCAGTACTATATACCGGCGCAGTATAGCCTAGCTCTGCTGACCGCACGGCCGCATTATAGTCCGGCAGCCACTGAGCTACACCTCGTTTTGTTGAAATAAGTTTTTATCTTGAT